CATATTAAGTAATCCAAAGTATTCAGAATACGTTACTCTCATTGAGTAACGTAACGGAATACGTTACAAAATACATTTTGGGGCATGTATTCTGTAATCTGTTTAAAAGTAACCTTCCCAACACTGCAAATGCACACCTCCGCTTATATTTGGTTAAATGTCCCTTAGCAAGTTGTACTTCAGTCAGATGTCTCTACCATCAACCAGCTTCTGGTTTAATTCTTGCTGGATATTTGACCACCTCTTTCCTGTTTTTAAGAATATAGTGCTCAAATTTTCAGTATGTTTGAGGTCAAGGCGTTTATGCATTATAGTTATTTGGTGACGCAATTAATTTGGCATTAGCAAAAGAGCAAAGATTAGCAAGCTAAATACATAAATCTGCTAATGGTTTGTCAGTAATATTAACTGATAATAACTGTTATAATAATTCTGATGTGTTATGATGCAAATGTCTCAAAAGCCTGGAAACAGACTAAACATACTGAGGTGACTGACTGGTTAAATTTAAATAAAGAACCTTAAAGATTTTAGATATATGCTAATTATCTGAGAATTGCACAACAAAATCTGTTTAGCCATAGATTATTTTTGCATGAAAAGTTAAAAATTGCAAGAACAACTACTTTGTGTACTCTGCATGTTCATGGTTTTCAAAGATCCAAATAGTCACTGCTAACTTCTGGCGGGACTTGATCCTAATCCCCCTACAAGCTGTTCGCTGACAACCATTACACAAAAACACGACAAACAAAACACTAAATAACTACCAGCAAAACATACGTGACACTGTGAGATTAGACTGTAATAGAAAAGAAGAAAGAAAACAACATTCAATCAAAAGACCACAACAGCCATCTTAAAGTTAAACAAATAAAATAAAATGAGGTGTAAACTGCATGTCTCAAATCATATGTGCAGTCATTTCAAAGTGGTTCAGGGTGGGGTGTGATCTCTGAAGAAGAGTTTACAGTACTTTTGCTTGAAGTGCTCATTCTTAGTGCTCAACAGCACTTCTAAGGCTAAAACTGTGAAAACGACATGCTGCAGTGTTACATGCCAGACAATTTTTTGGCTGCTGCATTGAGTTCCTGGACTTCTGTCATCTCCATAGGATTGCCAGCTAGCTTGTTGGGTTTAAAAAAGAAATCTCTAATCACAGTAATAATTTGCATCATAAAAGTCCATGAAACAAGTAGACAGGTGAAAAAAAGAGCCAGATCACATCCATGACTGATGACTTTAAAATGATCCATGTGCACAAGTTTAATGATGTCCAAAAGCAGTCATGAGATGGAAACGATGAGCCATACCGTCTCTGTGCCTGGTTTACCATCGGCCTCCTGTGGTAATGGACCATGGTAAAGCAGGCAACAGATACTCAGCCCTGTTTTCACCTGGAAGGTTTTGTTTCCTCTTGTACCACGCACCGTCCAGTGGGGACTTCTCCTCTGCAATCTCATCCTCCTCCTCCAGCAACACCTCCTCTGCAGCGAAAGAGAGAAAGGGAAAAAAAAAGGGGATTTTATTTTTTACCCTTTTTTTTTTTTTTCCTAAACACAACCATGCTTTTTGAAAGATGAGTCTAACCTGCTTTGCAGATCCACTCCAAGTATCCGGTGAGCTCTCTCTCAATCTGCTGTTGCCTGCGAAGCTTTAGAAACTCCTGTCTCTTCTCCACACGCTCTCGCTCTTTGGCAAATTCTCTGTTGAGGCAGGGTTTTTTTTTTTATATATACACAGCAAGAACAGATTGCATTAACATTTAACATGTGGTAGTTTGCATTTAAAGACTTTTTTTATGTTTGGCTCATGTAAGCAGATATTGATCTACGTAAGACACAGATAAACTGTAGATGAAGTTGAGGTTCAAACAATTCGGGCAGATGGATTAATAAGGTCAGAGTTAAGATGACAGCTGGGAAACTGTTGAGGATATGCAAGAGGAAAAAAAGGCTGCTGGCATAGCCATAACTCTCAGGAGATATTTCCAACATTTTCAGACATGAAATGTTTGGGTGGAGAAAAAAGCTCATGATGCTGTTTCATGGCTCTGTGAGATAGGACTATTGGCAGCATATGCACTTCACGTAGAGAAAACAATGAATCGTATGATATAGTATTTTTTCCTCAGTTCTGTTTTAGGAAGCATGTTTATTCAGTTTTCAGTTGTCGCACACAACTTTCTTGTTTCAAGGTCTAATATGAAGCTATAAGTAGCAGGCTATTAGCTTAACATAAAGACTGAAAGCAGCGGTATGCATATGACATCTTTTTTTTCACAACCTCTGTAGTAGAATCATTTCAGGGATTAAGTTATTCAACCTTAGTAGTGCTAGAGTATGTCTGACTTTTCACTTGTGTTATTACGATAATAAGATAAGAAAAGATTAACAAACAGCCTTTGACCAGCATTAGAAGTGCCTGCTCAAAGGATTTTGTTACTTTGTTGATTTCCTCTACTTTACTATTTATGCCTTGTATATAGTTAATGTAAGTTAATGGATTGGTGGCACACAGTCATCAGGAAACATGATTTGGAATACTGAACAGTTCATAGTTTTTAATAGTTTCATGAAAACCAGGAAGATGAGAGGGCAAAGTGATCATTTCACCGAAGGAATATGAGCTAGCTGTTGTTGGATCATCATTTTTCTCAAGAGCTTCATTTTAAGCAGCGTTTCCTTACGACGTCCAGACTAATGATCAAACATGTTTGCTTTAATCAAGAGTTTAAAAAGACAAGAGGCCGTGAGTCACGGCAGG